GGGTCTAGGCCCGAAACGTCAGCCTTCCTGCTCCTCTGATGCTGCTTGGCCTGCTGTGTTCATCCAGCTCTACACCTTGTTATCTCTTTTCCAAAGAGAAGACAATTTTAGATCTGATCGGGTTCGTCATATCAAATTTAAACTATTACTTGACACTGATGTCAAGAGAACTCCACAGCACATGGTAGAAACATCAACCCAAGGCACGTATTTTCAAATTGAGATCAGAAATCTCAATGATCCGTGAGGAGTTTCTTAGCAATCTGGTGAAGTTGGGTTTCCATCTGTTAGTCCTCGAGTTGCTGCATTTCTTCACTTACTATATTTAGGCATACAGTAATCAACATTGGAATGAGAGAACTTGAATTTACAGAAGCACCTTCAGAACATATCAAAGCATCTCAAGTTACATTTGAGGTGTGGCTGCTGTTTGCCTATGTAACAGCAACTAATTTGCATACAGGCCCATAAACAGCAAGTGAGGTAAATCTGAGATAACAAGGTGCAGAGCTGGATGAACTGGTAAATCTGGTTTGGTGACATTGATTAAAAGCGCAAATACTGGATGTGACACTTGAGAACCCTTCTGCTATTCTTTGAATTCAGACATGTGCCATTCTACATCCCAAACTAAGTGCTGTAATGATATGATTGTTGAAATTGAAGGACTTTTCAAAAAAAGAAAAAAAAAAATTTTCCCTCCATTTTCAAGGACTTTCCTTAGGGCATAATCACAATATGAAGTAGATGGATTCAGCCATCCCAGGTTGATCTTCTGGAAAATTCACATTTCCACTTTCAAATTAGAGATTCCTTGAACAAATCAGAAAATGTATCCAAACACTTGAAATGGCCAACACGCTCCTTATGAGCGGAGGTTGGTCTAAATACTTGGAAACTACTCCTGGCCGCTTTTGTGATCAGTACAGATCTGAATACTTTAGAAGGCTGGTCAAATACCAAAATAGTATTTCATAGTCTTTTCCTTGCAAAATGCCAATGTTTGAATAAAAAAGTATCCTGCTTATGTAAAGGTCCTCAATTTCAAAGAAGTTGAATTTTACAGACATTTAAACAATGTTTAAATGCTTATTCCAGTAACATACATCATCGTTTCATTTATGTCTTGCATGTATATCTACCCAGCACTTAACACAGCTGGTGTTTCTTATCATGCCATTTGGATTATCCCCATTTACTGTAGATTATATCTTCCTAGTGCCATACAAATGTGTTTAGTTATAATAACATTTCAATCCAACAGCCAATATTATTCCAGATTGTTAATTGTTAAACAGAAGACTTCTGCTCCTTTACTAAAGTTCCTCTGCAGGCCCTTTGCAATAAATTCAACAAGACTATCAAGCGATTTTTTTTTCAGTTCTTGCAGTTTATCACTTAGCTCTTGCTCTCACTTTCTAACTTTGTTGATTCCTCTTGGGGGTTTACTTAATAATTGCCAGTCATTCAAACTGCTTAATTTGTCAGTACGCTCAGCCTTCTTGCTAAGACTGCCTGTTGACAAAATGGATTTATATCATCCAAAACCTGTTTAAGTTCTGTAATTTCTAAGTGACATTTTCTTTTCAATACTTCGCCCTCACTAATCTTTTGTCTATGATGCTCCAAATGTGCTTCATAGCAGATGCTTGCAGGTGTGCACAAAGGGGAATTTGCTGAAGCTTACAAAACAAGACTGGGGAAATTGAACACCTTAAATTTTCTGTTGATCAAGGACAAAATTGTGGCAGATGGAATTCAAATTAAGCATGTGTGAGGTATCCATTTTGGATCCAAAAAAAGGATAAATCGGGTACTTTCTAGATGATATGAAGTTAAATACAGAGAATGCCCAAAGAGACCTGGGATTTCAGGTGCATAGGTCTTTAAAATTTCATAAACAGGTACAGAAAATAAATTAAGACAACTAATGTAATGCTGGCCTTTAAACCTAAAGGACTGGAGTACAAAGAAGCAGAGGTTATGCTGCAGTTATTCAAAACCCTATTAGACCCCAGATCTGGCACCGCACCTTAGGAAGGATACTATGACCTTGGAGGCAGTATAATGTAGGGTTACAAGAATCATACCTGGAGGTTACTTTGTGAGGAGAGATTATACAAATTAGGTCCATACCCTATAGAATTAAAAGAGCTTAAGGGGTGATCTGATCAAAGTCTTCAAGATATTAACAGGAAAAGACAGATAGATAAACTACTTCTACCGGTTGGGGATTCTAGAACTAGGGCTCTAATTCTCAGACTTTCAAGACAGATGTTAGGAAGCACTTCTACACACAAAAGGGTGGTAGATGTTTGGAACTTTCTTCCACAAATGGTAGCGTACGCTCAATCAGTTGTTAATTTTAAATCTGTTAAGCAAAAGATATTGACAGAGATGGGCCAAACAGGTATATGGAATAGCTATGATCTCAATGAATGGTGGAACAGACTCAAAGGGCCGAATGGTCTACTCCTGTTCCTAAGTAGTTACTTCTCAATTTTTACATTACCTGAACAATCTATCATTACACATTGTTCTTCAAATCACTCCTTTTTTCAAGTGTTCTGTTTCAACTCTTCATCGATTGAGAATTTTTTGCCCACCAGCTTGATCAACGACAATTCAAGAACAAAGTTGATAACATGAAGCATCTTTGCAAAGCCTGTTCTGCCATGTAGTCTCTGAAGAATATAACTATATACCTTACAGAAAGAAACTCTGACCTTGCATATTCACACACCTATTTCCACCAATCGCACTGCACCAAGAGGGACTGGTTGCCTCATCATGCTGTGTAGAATTTCAGACAAGAATGTTCTTGGTGCAGAGATAGATTATTTGAAATAAATGACTCTGAATGAAATGCCAAAAGATATTTAACTGCTTCTGAAAGGGCTTGCTACGATTTGTTGCCTGATTTTGAGACAGAAGAAATTGGCACTGCTGATTTCATGACCCAACCCATATTGCATCAGATGTTCAGCTGGTTGCATGTTTCAATTGTGACAGCATTTACACTAAATTTAAGCAAGTCCAGAGTCGTCTCTCAAGCTGCATGGCAGTCTCTTATGTTCAATTAGCTACAAATTCTAGGCAGTCTGACTAATCTGATTCAAACAACACACCTCTTATGATGTTTAAGAAATTAAGCACAGTCAAACCTGGGTGAAAAAAAAAAAAAAATCAATGAATTTGGAAACTTCACGCAAATATTCAAACAGTAGGGTGCACTTACATTGCATATCACTAAATGTACCTCAGCAAGCCACTAGAAATGTCCAAACTGCAGCTAACTATTCACTTCAGATGAGCATACATCTGTATGCTCCCAGGCAGAGAACAGGTTAATAATTAATCCACTCTACATATATTCTGCAGTTCAGCTGGGCCATTATTTGATATTGCACAAGATCTTATTCACACCATGATTTCCCAACCTCCATTTACAAAAAGTACAGCTTAATCTTAAGCATAGGTTAAACCCATTGTCAACTAAAGAGTCATTTGGTAGTCCAGAACTTGAATTTTGCTGAAAAATATTGAGGTTTGGCATCCTGCACCCATTAGGATATCTGCAAGAAATACTAATGTAAAAGGAGAACATTTTTAACTAAATGACAAGAGTATGCTAATTGGTTACCAAGTGGTCTGTGATTAGTGGAGGCAGTGTCAGAGAGAATGAACCCAGTTAGATAATGACCGATAGTTAATTTGTCACTACTCTCAACCTTCTAATAACTGCCAGTCTTTGTTTAGGTTTAAACCAGGCAGGTTGACTATAATTGGTCAAAACATTGCCCTGCGCAATGAACCAGAATAGCTTTCCTTATCTCAGACGAATAAAATGGAACGCAATACTGTTTGTCTGCAAAGAACAGACCCCTTTTGTTCATACGCAATTTCTAATACATGCTAATGTGGCACACTATGAATCCAACTAAATCTTAAATTGGTTGTTAACATAATTGTTAGCACACTCATGTTTGTTCCCTTTTATGTTGGCATTCTTATGAATTGTCCTGGTAAATGCAAGACAAATTGCTTTGACAAGTGCTATTTTTCCAAGTAATAGCCAAGTTAACTATAGTTAAATTGATATGAGCTTAATCCCACATTATCCCTGATGCCCTTCTTAAAGGAAGATTGATCATTTTCCAGTCCTCCAGGACCTCTCCTGTGACTTAACAAAATACAAAGATTTTGTACAAGACCTTAATTTCCGCACCTGCCTCCCTCAACATTCTGGGGACTTATCTACCTTGAACTTTTACAAAACACCCAAAATCACCTCTTTTATATTGAGATGTCCAAGAATATCAACATATCCCTCCTGAGACTCACCAGCTGCCATGTCCTCGTTCTTTGTGAATACTGATGCAACATATTCGTTAAAGGACCTTACCCACTTCCTCCAGCTCCATGCATAAATTCCCTCCTCTGTCCTCAAGTGAGCTACCCTTTCCCTAGCTACCCTCTTGCTCCTTACACATGTATAAAATGCCTTGGGATCTATCTTAATCCAGTTTGCCAAGGATATTTTATAGCTCTTTTTAGGCCCCAATTCCTTGTTCAAGTTCTTTCCTGCTATCTTTGTACTTTTCAGGGTTTTCCAACATCCTAACATACAAAGAGATCTATGCAAACAAGTCCATAGTTCCCTGAAAGTGACAACACAAGTGTATAAGGTGATCAAGAAGGCACACGGCATGTTTGCCTTCAACACAGGGCCTAGAGTATAAAAATTGGCAAGTCATTTTGCAGCTGTATAGAACTTTGAGCCACACTTGAAATATTTTACAGTTCTGGTTGCCACACTACCAGAAGGATATGGAAGCTTTGAAGAGGGCACAGAAATGCTTTAACAGAATGTTGCCTCATTTGGAGGGTGTTAGCTATTTGGAGAGATTGGATAAACTGGTTTTGTTTTCACTTGAGCAGCAAAGAGCAAGGGGTGACCTGATAGAAGAGAGACATGGTTAGAATGGATAGTTGGAGTCTTTTTCCCCCAGGTAGTAATGTCAATTATTTGGAGGACACAGGGTTAATGTAAAAGGGAAAAAGTTTAAAAGGAGGTGTGAGAGCAAAAAAAACTTTTTTTTCTCTAAAACAGGGTGGCAAGTGCTTAGAATGCGCTGCCAAGAGAGATGGTGGAGGTGGATACAATGGCAACCTTTAACAGGCATCTTGACAGATGTATGAATAGGCAGAGAATAGATGCACACACACCGTGCACACACAAAAGGCTTTTCAGTTTTGAAAGGCATGTGTTGGTACAGTCAATCATACAACATGGAAACAGATACTTCACTTCAACTCGTTCATGCCAAGCACATACCTCAATCTTACCTCGTCCCATTTGCCAGCTTTTGGCTCATATCCCTCTAAACCCTTCCTTAGAATATACCCCATCCAGAAGCCTTTTAAAATGTTGTAATTTTACCCACCTCCACCATTTCCTGTGGCAGCTCATTGCATACACATATCACCCTCTGTCTGAATAAAGTTGACCCTCAGGTCCTTTTTAAAATCTTTCCCCTCTCACGTTAAACCGATGCTCTCTAGTTTTGGACTCCCCCTACCCCGGGTTAAAGACCTTGACTATTCACCCTATCCACACCCCTTATGATTTTAAAAGTCGCTATAAAGGTCACCCCTCAGCCTATGACACTCCAGGGAAAAAAGTCCCAGCCTATTCAGCCTCTCCCTCTCGCTCAAATCCTCCAGGCCCGGCAACATCTTGTAAATCTTTTCTGCACCCTCTCAAGTTTAATGACATCTTTCCTGTTTCCCTGCTGTACTGTTCTTTATATGCACATTATCTGTACAGCAAGTGTGTAACATTTACTTAGTTTTGGTCAGGGCCTACAACATTGCTTGGTGTCATTATTATTGCGAAGGTTGTTCAACCATAAAGACAGTATTGCATGGGTAGATATTATATACATATACCTAACGGTTAACAAAAGTTAATGTATGATCAAAGGAATTATATACACCCAGCACACTTCAGTGCACACAGACTCCCACCTATGAATCTTTTCTTATTGCAATTTTAATGCAGGTTTCTTTCTTTGATCCCGTAATAAAAATGTTAACAAAACAATTAAGCAATATTTTCATGGCTGATAAACTAAAAGTTAAGGAGTTTAGGACAAATGGTCAAATTCAAGGATTGAGGCTCATTGAATCCAATGAACAGACGGTACAGTGAGTCATTCAAAGAAGACCTGTTTAATCCAAGTGTTTTAAGGATTCCTGGGGCATTAAAGAACCTGTATTGTACTGTTTCTTGGGCTAAAGATTTGTCAAAATATCTGCAAAAGGTGGGTTCTTCATTCTTCTAGTGAAAAATTAGTAGAACGAGTTTCAACA